AATACAAACACGAGTGATTATATATATAAACAAAACCACACGAGTGATTATATATATAAAACACACAAAAAGCTGATATATTATATATATTACCCAAAACCCGAGCTGAATTTTATTATTTTTTTACACACACCACACGAGCTGAATATATATAATTATAATATAATAAATATACCAAACAGAGCTGATTTTTATATATATATATTATATATAATAAAAAATTTTTTTAATTATATATATTTATATATATTAAACACACACCACACCACACACCACACGAGAGGAGGGTGTAAAAGAAAGTTTCCAGAGTATACAAGAAAAATGGGGGCAAAGCCCCTCTCAGTGACTCAGAAGCCTTTTTCGAAAAAATGAACGTTATTACGAAACTTCTCATATATACGTATTAAAACCTATTAACTTAGTCATACATACAGTCACATTATTATATAATTATACCTGTCATTATATTAGCAAGTTTGACGTGCATTCTTTAATTGTTCGTACATTAACGCATACGTCCTTATTCAAGTGACTTGCCAGGTTTAAAGTCTATGTACTACACGAGGGTCGTTAAGGCTGCATGTAACCTGTACACCAGCAGTCAAGGTTACTTTAATACCTAAAATAGCATGTATACACTGAGAGACATACACCTCTCAGTGTATATAACCAGTTGATTACATGAATATAAATATAATTGCTAATGTAGTTACGTATGCATTTATGTAATATAAAACAGTTTGGTAATTACATTTGTAAAGGGTGGCTTCATAATTTACTTACTCAGTGATTAAATTTATATATATATATTATATATATATATATAATATATATATATATATATATATATATATAAGTGTAATGAACACTTGTTATTGCTCAATAATAACACACGTGAGAGAGAAAAGAAACACAGATTAATTCTGCTACACAAAACACATGAGGAGTTTACCAGATACCATGTTGAGACTGCAACCAAGCATACATAGGACAAACTGGTCGAACACTATTTGCAAGGCTCGTTGAACACCAGAGAGCAATATGTTTTGCACAGGATAATTCAGCCACTTTTCAACATGTCAGCATCAACTATCACAACATTCACTAGGAAGCTGCTACCATCAAACAAATTACACTGCAGCTACGAATGTCGAATCATAGATATCACTCCCAATTTCAACACCTCACAGGGACACTGGAAACCAGACATTTCAAAATTCGCCCTCAAGAAGTACATTCCAGTGCCCAACCTCAACATGAATTACAGCACAAAGGAACTTCCTACTCAAATTTTTAGCTTCACTTCAGGACCTGTCTTCTCACCCAGTCACTACCTGACATCTCCATCCACTCACCTGTACGGGGTTACCTGGAGGTTATTCCGGGGATCAACGCCCCCGCGGCCCGGTCCATGACCAGGCCTCCCGATGGATCAGGGCCTGATCAACTAGGCTGTTACTGCTGGCCGCACGCAGTCCAACGTACGAGCCACAGCCCGGCTGATCCGGCACTGACTTTAGGTATCTGTCCAGCTCTCTCTTGAAGGCAGCCAGGGGTTTATTGGCAATTCCCCTAATGCTTGATGGGAGGCTGTTGAACAGTTTTGGGCCCCGGACACTTATGGTGTTTTCTCTTTAGTGTATCAATGGCGCCCCTACTTTTTATTTGGCGGCATTTTGCATCGCCTGCCCAGTCTTTTACTTTCGTAGGAGTGATTTCTGTGTGCAGATTTGGGACCATTCCTTCCAAGATTTTCCAAGTGTAGATTATGATATATCTCTCCCTCCTGCGTTCCAACGAGTACAAGTCAGTGCTTCCAAGCGTTCCCAGTAGTTAAGGTGCTTGACAGAACTTATACGTGCAGTAAAGGATCTCTGTACACTCTCTAGATCTGCAATTTCACCTGCTTTGAATGGAGATGTTAATGTACAGCAGTATTCCAGCCTAGAGAGAACAAGTGATTTGAAAAGGATCATCATGGGCTTGGCATCTCTCGTTTTGAAAGTTCTCATTATCCATCCTATCATTTTCTTTGCACGTGCGATCGTGGCACTGTTGTGATCCTTGAAAGTGAGATCCTCAGACATTACTACTCCCAGGTCCCTTACATTATTTTTCCGCTCTAATTGTATGGCCGGAGTCAGTAGTATACTCTGTTCTAGTTATTATCTCCTCCAGTTTTCCATAACGGAGTAGTTGGAATTTGTCCTCATTGAACATCATATTGTTTACCGTTGCCCACTGGAAAACTTTGTTTATATCTTCTTGGAGGTTAACCGCGTCCTCAGCAGATGACAGCCTCATGCAGATCCTGGTATCATCCGCAAAGGATGATACGGTGCTGTGGTGTATATCTCTGTTTATGTCTGATATGAGGATAAGGAATAAGATGGGGCGAGTACTGTGCCTTGTGGAACAGAGCTCTTCACTATGGCAGCCTCCGATTTAACTCTGTTGACCACTACTCTTTGTGTTCGATTTGTTAGGAAGTTGAAGATCCATCTCCCCACTTTCCCAGTTTTTTAAGTTTTTTTGGGAACGCCAGAGCTTTTGTCAAATTTTTGCAATTGGGTTTTCACCACATTTTTTAGTGGGGCTAACCGTTTTTTAAAAAGGACTTAAAATTTCCCCAGTCAAGGGTCCTTTTAAAAAATCCTTTTTGACTTAAAAAAGAGGGGGTCGAGGGTTTTAGTTTTTTGTAACCTCCCCATTTTTATTCTATTCCTTTTTTGGTTTTTCCCCGCCAAGCCCCATCCTGTGAATTTAGGCAGGGAAGGGGGGTTTTTGCTGAGGGAACCCCCAAACTTTTTTCCTTTTCACTTTTTTCCCCAAAAAAATTCTCCGGGAACCCCTTAACTTTTTCCTAATAGCGGGGACCAGAATGGGAATCAAAATACAACCAATAATTCTGTGTTTCTGGTTTAATGTGGGATTTATTAGAATTACATTACCACAGTTTCTGGCTATACATCGTGTCCACATCATTCACACACTAGCCAGGCAGAAGCGTGCATCGAAACGTTGCCTCAATAAAAGGTATTAGTCTAGTACTGTCTGCAAAACTACTGATAATACTACATGTGTGGAGCCATGTGTCCTGCCACTGCCACTTAGCAATGCACCCATAAATTACCACTCATCACTACATCACCACTACCACACCCATACTACATCCCCCACTACCAAAACCATCATACCATCCACCACTACCACACCCATCACTACCACCACCACTACCACACCCATCACTCCCTCCCCCACTACCACACCATCACTACCTCACCACAAACCAAAACCATCATACATCCACCACTTACCACACCCATCACTACCCAACCCTTTCATACCATCCCCAACTACCACACCCTCATTTACCATCCACCCTACCACACCCATCACTACCATCCACCACTACCACACCCATCACTACCATCCACCACAACCACACCCATCACTACACACCCATCACTACCATCCATCACTACCACACCCATCACTACCATCCACCACTACCAACACCCATCACTACCATCCCCCACTACCACACCCATCACTACCATCCACCACTACCACACCCATCACTACCATCCACCACTACCACACCCATCACTACCACCCATCACTACCACCCACCCACTACCATCCACCACAAACCACACCCACCCACTCCATCCCCACTACCACACCCATCCTCCCATCCACTACTACCACACCCATCACCACCCCACCCATCTTTTCCCATCCATCACTACCACACCCATCACTACCATCCACCAACTACAACACCCATCATTACCATCCACCACTACCACACCCATCACTACCATCCACCACTACCACCCCCATCATTACCATCCACCACTACCACACTCATCAACCATCCATCACCACCACCCACCACAGTAATAAACATCAGCTTCTAACATCAGGCCAAATATGGACTAATATAACAGCCAGTATATATTACTGACCGCACACTGGTCTCCCCCCCCCCCCCCCCCCCTCCTCCCCTAATTTAATATTTACCATAAAAGTCAATTTAAGTCTCGAAAAGAATTGACATTTATTCCCCATAACGCGACATGAATATACATCTTCGTCATTGCCTCGAGAGAGACTAGTGGGCGAAATTACCACCTTACGAAACATCAGTAGAGAAGCGAAACATCAATACAGAAAAGGTTTTGGAAACTTCAATAACTTCAAATTGATAAAAAAAATTATTTGTGTATTTTTACACAACATAATTAAAAATCAAACATTAATTTCTTTGTTTAGTAAACAATTGTTGATTAGGTCAGTGTTGAGGTGACACGTCAGTGTTGAGGTGACACGTCAGTGTTGAGGTGACACGTCAGTGCTGAGGTGACACGTCAGTGCTGAGGGGACACGTCAGTGCTGAGGTTTACACGTCAGTCTGAGGTGACACGTCAGTGCTGAGGTGACACGTCAGTGCTGAGGTGACACGTCAGTGCTGAGGTGACACGTCAGTGCTGAGGTGACACGCCAGTGCTGAGGTGACATGTTAGTCCTTACTAACCACGTAAAAGTGAACCAACGCTGAGGCAAAGTGTGAGTGAAGGGAATGTGAGAGTGAGGAAAGGCGAAGGTGAAAGAAGGTTAGAATAAGATTCTTTGGGAAGCATTGAGGTGAGGGAGACAGTAAGGGAGGACAGAGGAGATGGTGAGGGACAAAGGAAGGTGAGGGGATAAGGAAGATGAGGGGATAAGGAAGATGAGGGGATAAGGAAGATGAGGGGAGAAGGAAGGTGAGGAGGGAGAATATATAATGTGTCAGTAGAAGGAGCAGCAATCTGGCCGCTGCCGGAGTAAACAAATATTCAACACGACTTTGCATTTAGAAGAATTTTACAAACACACAAACACACGTACACACAAACACACGTACAGTAAAGTTCTTGGAGCTGGGTGCTAGAACTTCAAAGATATATAACAAGTAACAAAGAAACGGTAATGCGGTTAGATGAGAACTTACGTACTTTTAGTATATAAAGAGCAGGGAAACGGGAGCCATGATTCAACCCCCTCCTAGTGCAACTAGGTGAACACAAGAACTTGTGACGACGACGACGACGCGGCAGGGCAGGGCAGGGCAGGGCAGGGCAGGGCAGGTCAAAACCTCGAATTAACAGTAATTTCTATTTGATGGCAGACCGACCAGTATACCTAAAATATATTTCTAGATTAAAATTCAATGAAAAACGTATGTTAATTTACATAGTCAATTCTGTCTATATATACAGTGTGAATATCAAATGGTATACAATACCGACAGGTTGGTAGATAAGACACATAGGCAACTTTATTTCGAAACGTTTCGCCTACACAGTAGGCTTCTTCAGTCGAGTACAGAAAGTAGGCGGGAGCAGTAGAGATGTGTAGACGATGTAATCAGTCCATCACCCTTGAAGTCGTAGATTTGAGGTTGTCAGTCCCTCAGCCTGGAGAAGTTCTGTTCCAAAGTCTGGAACTAACTGAAGATCAAGGACAGTGTTGAGACTTAAATACTGTCGGAAGGAGAGGTGCAGAGCAGTAGTAGTAGTGAGAAAGTAGCCACTGAGAAGTCATGTCCCTCTCAGATCAAACAGTTCTCACTTGAAAAAGTTGTCCAAGGTGATTTCTCTTCTGTACCAAGATGCCATTGTGTTGGACGAATCTTATTGTGGCTAGCTGGTCTAGTGGCTAACGCGACGGGCTGGAGTTTTGAGACTCTCTGACCGCGGGTTCAATCCCGGCCGGGGTATGGTTTGTTTCCAATCGTGTCATTACGATTTCGTGAGTCATGGAAATTAAGTTGAATTACAAACAAGAAATGAACTAAAATGAATGATAAAACAGAAAATAAAAAGAACATACTAGTGTGACACCAAAGATGTACATAAATACACATCGGTAATTATTATAGTGTAGATGGAACACATTACGAACTGAAAATTATGGTCAGTTATTCTTAAAGTCAATAAAATTTAGAAAAATCAAACGTCTTCTTCGAGACCTAATATTTTTTTTACGAAAACTGCCGTTTTTTTATTTATTTTAGTTCATTTCTTGTTTGTAATTAAATTTAATTTCCATGTTGAGCCCCCCCCCTCCAAAAAAAAAAAAAACTAACTCCCCCCCCAGGTCTAAATCCGGCCCCGATCAAAACTAAGCACTAAACCCACAAGAGATGTCAAATACCTCAGCCCAACATCAAGGAGACAGTTTTCAACAAGAGTCCATGGACATTGTTCATTAGAATTACGAATATGTGGCAAACTAGTGTGTTTGGGCTCGTGTCCAGGGCGTCTCAAATATGAAGGTTGAAGCCACGTTAACACACAGTAACAAGACTGTTAGTCCCTTAGTAATTACCAAGTGACAACCATCCCCCCCTCCCCATCACCCTCCCACCAGTAACAACTAACTACTCACCCCCAAACCCCTCCACCAGCAGACAACCCCCGACCCTTCCCCTAACGACCTTCCCCCTCCCCACAAACAACCACTGACGTCATCAACCCCCCCTCCTCCAGGTCAATAGCGCCATTTAGCCATGGAGGTCAAGAATAGTGGCGCCACTAGTCACTCCTCTGCCATCCACCACACCAGCAACACCTCCAGTTCCATCAACCTGTGGTAATGTAAAAAAAAAACTTGGATTACTTCAATTTCGTGGTAATTTTTGATATATCGACTTTGAAAATATTTCAGCAATTTTTCTTTCTACAAAATATAAAGGGAAGTATTCAAATACATAGGCTTCAAACTGTTGCTTACTGCAGTTAACTATATTAATAATGTCCGTACTTGTATCTTTGCAGACGTTGTTTTGGGGTGTTGCTGCTGGTGATGACATCTCTCAAGACTTGCACCCCTCAAGGAAGGTTCCTTGATGTTGGTGAGGAGCTCTTGATTTAGGGAATTGGATCTGTGCTCCAGTTCCCCGAATTAAGCCTGAATGCCTTCCACATCCCTCCCCCAGGCGCTGTATAATCCTCCGGGTTTAGCGCTTCCCCCTTGATTATAATAATCAAGACTTGCAGCTGCCCACCACACGGCGAATATCTTCAACCTGAAAGATTCGACAAACTTAATTAAAATGTAATAAATAGTCTTTTTGATAAAGAAATGTTGAACACACACACACACACACACACACACACACACACACACAAAGGTGTTCAAGGAACACAAAAGAAATATGAAAAGGAAAACTTTGGGACAAGCCTCAACTACTGTATTTGTCAGCAGGAGGACAACATTCACACAATTCGGGAGCTTTAAGCTCGGGGGGAAAAAAAAAAATATACCTACCCCAACCCTACTAACAATAGTAGTAATGAGACGGATAGTCTCAATACTGCCATTATCAGTAGTTTGAGGGATGATACATTTTAAAATTTCATGACCTTGTGTTTGTAGTGTCAGGAAGGCAAGTGTTGCGACGCTGGACAGTCTTGTACAACACTGCAGGGAAGATAAACACGTCCTCGTGCACAACAGTCTATCAGAGCACTGGAGACTAGAGGATCATTTTTACTTGCAGCAGAATCCTCCTGACAAACAAGACAAGAGTTGGAGGGTAAACTTAGGTTTGACTTAAATATGTCATCGACCTGTCCTTTGAGAGCTCACCCCCCCCCCTCTCCCCTTTCAAACTATTTTACATACGTGCACATTTACCCAAATAAAATGTACCATAACTAAATATATTATTGCCCAAAATGTGTATAACTCCTTTGGATAAGGTTTGATCCAAGGAGGGGAGGGTACTTACAACTGCTTGTATCAAGATGCCCTTCAAGGGGTGTCTTTGTACTAGTGAAGGTATCCAAATTTAACACGAAGGCAGTTAGAATCATTAAGACATTGTATTTCCCCTACACTTCCAAGTCCCTCATAGCCTAGTGTGCTAAGAACCAACACTGGCTTATCCAACCAGTTGGAGCTGTACCGTATACAAGTTTCCCAATACACACTACTATGCTAGCCTTAATTCATAACCTACCTTCCCTGCCAGTTATGGCTGGCATCCTAGGCACAACCTGAGGACCACTGCATTCAAGCTCCCACACTTTACCTCTAATTATCTGGGTTTCTAACCCAGCAGGGTTAATAATCCTATTCTCACTAATACCTATCTAAATCACCCTCTAACTATACTCATCAGCAGTTAGTGAATGCTTCCTGCCGACTAACACGTCTACTGCCAGAAGCGTTCGTCTTCACTACTTGCTATCAAACCAACTGAAATTCTGAACCCTAATACTTTTATATTCATAAGAACCTGAAGGCAGTTTAAATTTTCCAAAATGAAATAGTGTAAACTCACTGAATCAATATTTAACTTTGCACAGTTTGGCCAAAGGCATAAAAAACGTAGAACACCCACCACAACCACTACCCAAAGCCCGAAACCCACCAACATCCCCACGGAAACCACGTGCAATAACAGATTGCAGACAGCTACTGAAGGTCGTTGGTGGGTTCCCAGGCCAACAGTTCTACGTAATTTATGCCTTCAGGGGAGATTACTCTCCCCTGCTATATGCATTCATAATGCATATAGCAGATTCTCCAATTTTATTCTTAACCTAACTACCTAAATACATAAAACTACTTACAATACACTTATAAAAAACAACAATGGAGAAGCAATTCGAGACGATCTTTTGATTTCTCTTGGACGAGTATCAGGTCAGACCAGGGGTTAAAAAAACAGACCATAAGACAGGTCGCAAAAACCATGGGACGTCAGGCGACCAAGTTTCAAAAATCAGTAGTAGTGGTATAGACAACAGCAGTAAAAGCAGCAAAAGTAATAACAATAGTAGTAGAGGTAGCACTGGTAAGATTTACGGTAATACAAATGGTGGTAGTATTAGTACTGGCAATAATAGAAGTGCTGGTAGTCAGTCTAGCAGTAAGTCCTGGTAGTAGTAACATTAGCAATATTCCTAGCTTAAATAATGTCAGTACAAAAAACAGTGGGGAAATTGCGACAAGTTAAGGTTTAATAATAAAGTTCAACAGAAGCTTACGAGAAACATGAAAAGAAACCTTAATATTCCTGTCGGCCAATGCTAGATAAGAAATTAGAAATAAATAAGTCTGGCTAAGAGATTGACCATTTTTTTTTATCAAGGTTGGAGGGTAGAGCTCAAAATTAACTCGACAATTTAGTCTCCAAGACTGTTGTCACCTCTGTAGTCGACAGATGAAGTCTACTCCGGAAACGCAACATTTCATGATTAATGATACGTCACAATGTCTCTTAACCTAGTATTGTACACCATTTATAATGTGAAAATATAATGAAAGTTAGAGAAATCTGGTCCAGGAGAAAAGGTATGAAAATCAAGGTCAGATGCAGTCGAAAGTGGTCTCAAAACCCAGGTTATACGGAAACGTCTAAAGTTTCCTCCCCAAGTGTCAGTTTTGTGAACTTAGTAAAGAAAGCAACATTAGACTTACCAAAGGCATAAAAAACGTAGAACACCCACCACAACCACTACCCAAAGCCCGAAACCCACCAACATCCCCACGGAAACCATGTGCAATAACAGATTGCAGACAGCTACTGAAGGTCGTTGGTGGGTTCCCAGGCCAACAGTTCTACGTAATCTATGCCTTCAGGGGAGATTACTCTCCCCTGCTATATGCATTCATAATGCATATAGCAGATTCTCCAGTTCTATACCTTACCTATCCTACTTAACACCACCTAATTTTACAAGTTATTTTGATAGAAACTAAATAATTGTAGACCTACAAAGTGTTATATACATCACAACTACGTAGCATACTCCAGGTATAGGCCTTACTAATTTGCATAGCAGTGGCGGCGCAAGGGAGGATGAAGGGAGGTAAAGGGAAGATCAAGGGGTTCTAGATGAGATCAAGGGGGTCTAGGTAAGATCAAGGAGGGGTCTAGGTAAGAGCAAGGAGGGGTCTAGGTAAGAGCAAGGAGGGGTCTAGGTAAGAGCAAGGAGGGGTCTAGGTAAGAGCAAGGAGGGGTCTAGGTAAGAGCAAGGAGGGGTCTAGGTAAGAGCAAGGAGGGGTCTAGGTAAGAGCAAGGAGGGGTCTAGGTAAGAGCAAGGAGGGGTCTAGGTAAGAGCAAGGAGGGGTCTAGGTAAGAGCAAGGAGGGGTCTAGGTAAGAGCAAGGAGGGGTCTAGGTAAGAGTAAGGGGGTCTACAAAGTCTATAAATATACACTGTATACCCCTCCCCCCCCCAAAAAAAAATAGCTATAATACACTCTGGAGTCGTAAGCGCTAAACCCGCAAGGCTATAATACTGAAAATATTTTAGGGACTTCAAAGCATAAATTACTCGTCCAGGTCGTCTACAACACTACTGAAAATACGATGATGTGGTTAATTCCACATTTCTGGGGAATTATTGATTTTTTTCCGGCTATATTATATGAGGAAAATTTATTCCGTCATGTGAAGCTTAAAACTTTGGTTGTGTAGTTCTAAAAGTAGGTTAGACAAAGCAGTGGTTGCGAGTTGGACCTGCCTAGTATGGGTTAATAGGCTTGCTTCAGTACTCTTTTTGTCATAATAATGGATATGCCTGATTTAATAGGCTGTTCTTACACCTGGCCTCAAGACCTCTGCCATTACCCTCATCACACTATACTCAGTATAATTGTTAACCCGGTAGATTAACACAATTACCGAATCAAGTCAGGATGACATCTATGACATTTTATTAGGGTGTTTATACTCCCCCAGGATGCGACCCCCACCAGTAGGCCTGCTCAGGGCCAGTAGGCCTGCTGCAGTGTTCCTCCTTTGCGTAAACAATGCCAATGGATACAAGAGAACATGCCCACTTGTGCCCGGGATCGAATCCCGGTTCTTCAGTTGACGTCACTACCAACTGAGCCATGATACATCACTTACACACTTCATCTCAGCTTCCTACAATCTTGCAGGATAGTTCCACACTAAATAATAATATATTACACTAACTAAAACTTCCTAAAATCTAATCAGTCTTCACTTCTAAGCTTTACAACCCATTAACCCAATTTTTATTTCCACCCCATTCAAGGTAACCTATAGAATACACTCATTATTTCCTGGCCAGAGATTTCATCTCTGGTCGGGAGGTAAGTCAATACTTCCCACTAAGCTACTTTTGATATCAATTGCCTACAATCTTTCCTATACTCTCCCCACCACCTTCCCACCTAATACAATTACTATCTGCTTCAATAACCAAACTCTGGTTGACCTGGAAATACCTTACACATGGGCCCCCGCCCACCTTGAACGACGTCTCCAACTGCTGCATCTCCATATAACACGAATGTTATGGGTCAGATCATTTACTAGCGTGGTTGTCTCCACCCCTCAGACTGGTCAAAGTTGCCGTGCTGATCAATGCTGCAGCACAGCCAGGCACAGCACTCCTCAGTTACCACACCTGAAAAACACATTCGCATTATAACCATAAACATTACACACATTACTACCCGACTGATATAAACATCAATGTTTAACAGTAAGTAAATCTATCGTTTTCTTTAATATTTAATTCACATAAACCTGATGCCTAACAATGTTAACATGGAAGTCTATATCTGGATCACAAGGCGCAAGTTCCTTGGACCAAGAGACTAAGTTATTTTTCAATGATGGAAAAAAATATCCCAGAACTACATACACCATTATGTGTTATGTAACGCCTAGTCTGAGAGTTGTTTGATCAGAGGAAGGGGAGTAGCTCCAGTTCCTCGCATCAAAACCCCTCCACTAAGGTCAATCACCCCCGCCACCACCCCCCCCTCCAAGACATTAGACCCCAAATAAAATTAAAATTATTAAAATAATAATTTGGTGACTAAACTGGTGGTGGGGACCAGGAGCTGCAGCTCAATTCTGCTGTTGTACTGACAAATACGTCACAAGTCAATACTTACGTTATTTAGGTGTATTAAGAGGCTGAGGAAGGGGTAAAGCCGGCGGGGCGGCAGGAGGAGCAACACGTCTCTCCTGTACGACCATTGACGGTTAATTGACGTTTAGTGACCTTGAGGTTGGTCACTGTCCTGACCTTTACTATAACACCATCACTGATAACCTGACTAACTTTGACTACCACCACTAGATGTCACCACTACACCACCACTGTCAGTATTACTCATGGTGGAGCACTCAACCCGTGGGGGTCATGGACCACCTGGGAGGATAAGTTCACTCTCAGGTGGCATAGATCACATTCCTTGGATCAAGAGCCACTCGCCACTACCTTCAAAGAAACTCTCTCCAGGCCACCTCTCACCACCAGAGGCGCTCAACTCCACTACTATTGTACCACTAGTACTCTACATGAGTGTACCTGCAGAGAGTTTCAGGGGTCAACGCCCCCGGGGCCCGGTCTGTGACTAGGCCTCATGGTGGATTAGGGCCTGACCAACCAGGCTGTTACTGTTAGTCACACGCAAAGGAGATTATTGTACCACTAGTAACCTACATGAGGGGAGATTATTGTACCACTAGTACTCTACATGAGGGGAGATTATTGTACCACTAGTAACCTACATGAGGGGAGATTATTGTACCACTAGTAACCAACATGAGGGGAGATTATTGTACCACTAGTACTTTACGAGGGGAGATTATTGTACCACAAGTATCCAACATGAATGGCAGATTATTTTACCAAAGTTGTGTTCTCTCCCCCTAGTACCATGACTGCTTTAGTTCCCACACACTCGACCCACCACACTCGACCCACCACACTCGACCCACCACACTCGACCCACCACACTCGACCCACCACACTCGACCCACCACACTCGAACCCACCACACTCGACCCACCACACACTCGACCCACCACACTCGACCCACCACACTCGACCCACCACACTCGACCCACCACACTCGACCCACCACACTCGACCCACCACACTCGACCCACCACACACTCGACCCACCACACTCGACCCACCACACTCGACCCACCACACACTCGACCCACCACACTCGACCCACCACACACTCGATCCACCACACTCGATCACCACACTCGACCCACCACACACTCGACCCACCACACACTCGACCCACCACACACTCGACCCACCACACACTCGACCCACCACCACTCGACCACCAAACACTCAACCCACCACACACTCGACCCACCACACACTCGATCCACCAACACTCGATCCACCACACTCGACCCACCACACACTCGACCCACCACACACTCGACCCACCACACACTCGGACCCACCACACACTCGACCCACCACACACTCGACCCACCAAACACTCAACCCACCACACACTCGACCCACCAAACACTCGACCCACCACACTCGACCCACCACACTCGACCCACCACACACTCGACCCACCACACACTCGACCCACCACACACTCGACCCACCACACACTCGACCCACCAAACACTCAACCCACCACACACTCAACCCTACCACACACTCAATCCACCCAAACACTCGACCCACCACACACTCAACCCACCACACACTCGACCCACCAAACACTCGACCCACCACACACTCAACCCACCACACACTCGACCCCCACCAAAACACTTACCCACCACACACACAAATCCACCAAACAACTCGACCCACCACACACTCAACCCCACCACACACTCGACCCACCAAACACTCAACCCCCACACACTCAATCCACCAAACACTCGACCCACCACACACTCGACCCACCACACACTCAACCCACCACACCACTCGACCCACCAAACACTTAACCCACCACACACTCAATCCACCAAACACTCGACCCACCACACACTCGACCCACCACACACTCGACCCACCAAACACTCAACCCACCACACACTCAATCCACCACACACTCGACCCACCACACACTCGACCCACCACACACTCGACCCACCATATAATAATTTCTATAATACAAAGAACCTATACTACATAACCAGTGTTGCGCTACTTCACGAATCGAATCGAATCGAGGACGACGAGATCTGTCGTAAGATGGGAAGGAAGAAGGATATGGAAGGATGGAAATAACTGGAAAAGGATGGGGAGGAGGGGAAGAAGAGGAATCACGGCAAGTGGCCCAACCACTTTGAGACATGTGGTACAAAAGTACTGGAGATGTAGATAGAGAGGCTTGACTGATGTCATTGCTTGGCTCACTAGGAGAGGATGGCGAAGGCTGCGGTAGGAGCTGGGAGTGTCAGAAGGCAGCAAGCAGGATGAGTTGGCTATGGTCTTAAACGGTTTATCAGTGCGGTAAATTGTTTTCGGGAGAGTTGTATCACACTTATGGGAGAGCTGTAGTAGTATTCGTTGGTTTGAAGTTGGTGGAGTATCTGGTTGTAGGTAGGGAATGGTCTTTCTTCGCTTTGGTACGATACAGTGTTGTCTTGGAGATGTTGGATGAGTTCTATGCGAGTCATGCTTGCAGGGTACAGCCTCGTAGTGTAGAATATGAGTCCTTTGTGTTTAACCCATGGAGTTCCAGGTAATCGACGTGAGGTAAGTAGAAGGCTACTTCACGTGCATACGTGAATTTGGGAAAGCTTCGGTGGGTTAAACATTTATAACATTAATAAAACTGAATCATACAGATATAAGAAGAACTTATAAACCAGATAACCTCAGCTAACAGAGAGGAAGAGAGAGAGCCGGGGCTTCAACCCCCCGCACACACTGCCAGGTAAATACACCATGTAAACCCACACAAATAATAGAACATGTATCTCTACTGGCTAAAAGCTTTGCTATATCATTTTGTATTTGTTTTCTGGTTCTCAGATAAAAATATATAGAAAATATATGCAAAATTTCAACAAAAATTGAAATGTCTATCCCCGTGACGTGCATCATTTACACACAAAAAACTATTCACCCGGCAAAAAAAAAATTCAATGTTACAAAAATGAAATTTCTGTTTTTTTTTTTTGAGTACAGTTTGTTTAAAACTGTAGACGAGTGTTTCTACCTGTAGATGAGTGTTTCTACCTGTAGACGAGTGTTTCCACCTGTAGACGAGTGTTTCTACCTGTAGACGAGTGTTTCCACCTGTAGACGAGTGTTTCCACCTGTAGACGAGTGTTTCTACCTGTAGACGAGTGTTTCCACCTGTAGACGAGTGTTTCCACCTGTAGACGAGTGTTTCACCTGTAACGAGTGTTTCTACCTGTAACGAGTGTTTCTACCTGTAGACGAGTGTTTCTACCTGTAGACGAGTGTTTCCACCTGTAGACGAGTGTTTCCACCTGTAGACGAGTGTTTCTACCTGTAGACGAGTGTTTCTACCTGTAGACGAGTGTTTCTACCTGTAGACGAGTGTTTCTACCTGTAGACGAGTGTTTCCACCTGTAGACGAGTGTTTCTACCTGTAGACGAGTGTTTCCACCTGTAGACGAGTGTTTCTACCTGTAGACGAGTGTTTCCACCTGTAGACGAGTGTTTCCACCTGTAGACGAGTGTTTCTACCTGTAGACGAGTGTTTCTACCTGTAGACGAGTGTTTCTACCTGTAGACGAGTGTTTCTACCTGTAGACGAGTGTTTCCACCTGTAGACGAGTGTTTCTACCTGTAGACGAGTGTTTCCTCCTGTAGACGAGTGTTTCCTACTGTAGACGAGTGTTTCCACCTGTAGATGAGTGTTTCTACCTGTAGACGAGTGTTTCCACCTGTAGACGAGTGTTTCTACCTGTAGACGAGTGTTTCCTCCTGTAGACGAGTGTTTCCTCCTGTAGACGAGTGTTTCTACCTGTAGACGAGTGTTTCCACCTGTAGACGAGTGTTTCCTCCTGTAGACGAGTGTTTCCACCTGTAGACGAGTGTTTCCTCCTGTAGACGAGTGTTTCCACCTGTAGACGAGTGTTTCCACCTGCAGACGAGTGTTTCCACCTGTAGATGAGTGTTTCCACCTGTAGACGAGTGTTTCCACCTGTAGACGAGTGTTTCCACCTGTAGACGAGTGTTTCCACCTGTAGACGAGTGTTTCTACCTGTAGACGAGTGTTTCCACCTGTAGACGAGTGTTTCTACCTGTAGACGAGTGTTTCCACCTGTAGAACGAGTGTTTTCTACCTGTAGAAGGGTGTTTCCACCTGTAGACGAGTGTTTCCACCTGTAGACGAGTGTTTCTACCTGTAGACGAGTGTTTCCACCTGTAGACGAGTGTTTCTACCTGTAGACGAGTGTTTCTACCTGTAGACGAGTGTTTCTACCTGTAGACGAGTGTTTCCACCTGTAGACGAGTGTTTCCACCTGTAGACGAGTGTTTCTACCTGTAGACGAGTGTTTCTACCTGTAGACGAGTGTTTCTACCTGTAGACGAGTGTTTTACCTGTAACGAGTGTTTCTACCTGTAGACGAGTGTTTCTACCTGTAGACGAGTGTTTTACTACCTGTAGACGAGTGTTTCTACCTGTAGACGAGTGTTTCCACCTGTAGACGAGTGTTTCTACCTGTAGACGAGTGTTTCCACCTGTAGACGAGTGTTTCCACCTGTAGACGAGTGTTTCCACCTGTAGACGAGTGTTTCTACCTGTAGATGAGTGTTTCCACCTGTAAACGAGTGTTTCTACCTGTAGATGAGTGTTTCTACCTGTAGACGAGTGTTTCCACCTGTAGACGAGTGTTTCCACCTGTAGACGAGTGTTTCCACCTGTAGATGAGTGTTTCCACCTGTAGACGAGTGTTTCCACCTGTAGACGAGTGTTTCCACCTGCTAGACGAGTGTTTCCACCTGTAGACGAGTGTTTCCTCCTGTAGACGAGTGTTTCCACCTGTAGACGAGTGTTTCCACCTGTAGACGAGTGTTTCCACCTGCTAGACGAGTGTTTCCACCTGTAGACGAGTGTTTCACCTGTAGACGAGTGTTTCCACCTGTAGACGAGTGTTTCCACCTGTTAGACGAGTGTTTCTACCTGTAGACGAGTGTTTCCACCTGCTAGACGAGTGTTTCTACCTGTAGACGAGTGTTTCCATCTGTTAGACGAGTGTTTCTACCTGTAGACG